GGGGGGGGAGGGGGGGGGCAGATGAAACCTTGCGTTGCTAAACACACTTGTTTTTAAGCGTATACTGTCCACCTTACACTGCCTTAGAAGCTCCACCTTACAATCAGTGTTTTTATTTGACTCTGCTGTTTCATACTCCACTATGCATCAGATGTCACTGTTAACATGTTAATATTAGCTCAAAATGATGGTCATTCTCGTCCCTCTCATGACAAAAACAGACCTATGATTAAGTGGTTTCACCTCCATGTCACTGCTTAATCCCTGAGCTAACTAATCAATCAATCAGTGATCGATACGTGTAAACGTGTTAGCTCACCTGAAGCCAGCTGGCAGCTGTGGAAGCTGAAGACGAAGATGATGAAGATTTTCAGCCACATAGTTGATTTCATCAGAAAGTTGCTGTGCTGTGTCTTTGTGGGGCTTCGGGTCCAAAGTCCGTCCCTCCGCCTGCTGGTGGTCACATGATCAGTGGAGAAACCCGAATGATGAAACTCTGACCCAAAATCACTGAAAGTTTCTGCCTCCAGATTCCGGATTATCACCGTTTCATTGATGAATTGGAGAAATTACACAAACGCAGAGTTTCTTTTGTGTATTTCTGATATAGACGTAGATTTCAAACACCAAGCAGTCAAAGCTGAAACAACCAGAAATGTCCTGCTGTCTTTAAACATGCCTAGGCTGTGTATGTATGTATTATATTTATACATTGTTTTGTCTTGTGTTTAGAAGGTTATTAGACTAAAATCATTCAGTCAAAAGAAGGACTTGACTGACTTGGCTTAATTTGTTAAAAAAAAAAACTCAACAATAAACAGATAGTTGCAGCCAATATTCCACAGCCATGGTAAACAGAAAGTAATCACTGTTTCAGTTCTAAGCTTTTATTTATCAGAACGTAGTGAAAAGTAGACCTTTGCAGGTTTTAGAATTAGATAAATACAACAAAACAAATTACAGTGTCATTGTATATCCAACAAGTATTAAGACAAAATGTAGAAGCAGTGCGTGAAAAATTAAGTACACTATTACTTCTCGTATAGGAATTACGAAAGTAAGTAGAAATTAGGTGCTCATAATCAAATGCACTTGATTATTAATTATTACTATTAAGCCTCACATGGCAGCACATGTTTGGATTCACAAAGTTTCACCTGAACATACTACAACACTTCTGGAACAGTGGTTCATTTGTTTGTACACACGGTCTGAGGCAATTTCAAATTTGTTTATAAAGAACAAACAAATTCACGTGAGAAAATATTGATAAAGCACTGATTTGTGTGCATGAAGGACCCACTGTTACTAAATGAGGCCCACTGGTCCTAAGAACAGAAGCACGTCTACAACAAAATGGCTGGAAAAAAAGTGAGTGAGGGGCATGAAAAGAAACGAAAAACACTGAACTTCATCTTTATTGTCAAAAAACGACATTTCAACATGCCGAGTGAACTGATGTCTTTGCATCTTTTAGATTAAACTGATTGTTGGTTGATGGTTTACATTTACCATCACTAAGTTTCTAGCAGATTAATTTATATCTACAAATACAGGCCATTCATTTACTTGAAAAACAAATAATTTTTTAGTTTGTTGATTTTGGATTTTGCTCAGGACCAACTTTATTGTGTTGAAGTTCCTCCAGCTGACAGTCAAAAATTCTTTTTTTGTTCAAAAAGCTTCTGAAACTACATCTCTGGCATTTTTTAGGTACATGAAGGTGTGGAAGTTAAAGCTATTTGAGCACAGCATCAGAAAATGAATATTATTTTTATACATTTGTGTCTCCTTCACAATGATTACTGATCTAATGTTTCTAACACTGGATTCTTACTCTCTTAAACTCTTGAACTGCTTTGACACAGTGACTAAAACCAATTTTAGCCAGTTGCCATGATATTCTCAATCCAGTCCAGGAAGTTTGTGACCTTTGTGTAGACACCGTACATGTTTTCTTGGCCGCACCCTTTCCCCCAGCTCACCACACCTGTAAGGAACCAGGTTTTCTTGTACCGTGTCACCAGTGGGCCCCCGCTGTCACCCTTGCAAGCATCCTGGCCACCACGTTTGAAGCCGGCACAAATCATGTTCTTGGTGATGTTGAGCCCGGTGTGGAGGCGGCACTCCTGCACCGGGACCCTCGGCAGCTGCAGACGCTGCAGGTATCTTGAGGTAGAGCCAAACTCTGCCAGACGACCCCAACCAGACACAGTCGAGTGGCGGATGCTTGCCAGCGTCCGGGTGAAGGTGCTATTGCGGGCAGGAAGGCAGATGGGCACGACGTAGTGGCCCAGTTTTACTGGGCGGTGAAGCTTCAGCAAAGCCAGGTCGCTGTCGGAGCTAGTCACGTTGTAGTCTTCATGGCACACAACTTTGAGCACCCGCCGCCGCTGTTCTGTTTTTTCCCCGTCCGTTATGTCATGCTCACCTTGAAAGCGACATTACTTTTAATGCTACATTGAATTTGGAGCCAGAAGAAAAGTGAGCAAATTGAAAAAAAACTTGAACGACAATTAAGTTGACCTAACATACAGTTGACTCACAATATCCACTATGTTAGCAAAACCCATATACTGTTAGATACATTTTCAGAAACTAGAAAATAACACTTTTCAAATTAAATCAAATATTTTACATTGCATACAATGCTTCAAACAGACAAAAAAAGCCTATAAAGAGGTATGGACATTAAATAAAATGCTTTCTGTAACCCTAAAACGAGTCAACATTGACCTGGTGAATATTATGTGATTGAAGGAAGTAAGAGAGGCCAGACTAGAAGCCACAATTTGAAGTTACCATTTTTCTAATTGTCTTACCAACAACAATGTGGAGCACGGTGCTAGGTTTTCGATAAACACAGTGAGCTGCAGTTAAAATCCATCGATCTGACAAGACGATGGCACCGCAGAAGAATATGTTATTTTCAGCCAGAAGAGCCTGAAAAAAAGAGATAAAATACATACAAATCTGGATTCATCTCTCTGTTTACACTGATTTTCAGTCCAGTTCTTGTGTAATTTGGCATATACCTCTAACAGACACCCTTCCACCGAGACCATTTCTGATGAAGCTTCAGTGATCATCCCCTGTGTCAGCTCTTTTTTTTAAATTTTCCTATTTCTTAAGTTTTAGGGATATGATACCCTTCATCAGCTGTAGATATTTTTTGGGGGGTTGGTTTTTTTTTTTGCCTTCCACTTCCCCTTTTGGCCATTATTTGCAGATTTTCCTCAAATTTGTTTGATGCGCTGCACAGCATACTGAAGTATGTCAAATCTTTTGGCTAATAGCTATTTGCTAGTGGAAAAATACTATTTCATGCCAATCAAACTTATTTTGTGACCACTTTTATGACAGTGTTGTTTCTACAAAACTTTTGCACAATACTGTTTGTGTCTCTTTATGTATTCTAGTGGAAGATTGTGTATCTCAGCTCATTTTACTGGAGATGGAGCTCTATTCAAAGACTTACCTGCCACGGACATTGTCCTTTGGGACATATCATCCCATTAACAACCCTGAGGCCGGGGAAATGTACCTGAGGCCTTCCGCAGACCACAGCATCTGGACCAGACAGTTAAGAGAAACCAAAAGTCAGCCTTTTGCTTCTGACACCCTGAATGATGCTAGCTCAAAGACACACAGGAATTAAAATCAGTCCACACTTGTGATATCTAAGAAACTTAAAAGCAGTTTTTTTAGGTGTAAATATCTGCTAAGAGGTTAATATACCATTCCCGAACCCTCTGTGAATGGTCCTTATGGCCATTGATCAATGGTCTTTCATCAATGGGCTGTGATCAGTGGTTATTGATCAACAGTAATGGCAATTTGCATATTAATGGTCAAGGAACTGACCTCACAGCCCATTGTTCATTCAGTGGTAGTTTCAGTCATTGTGCAAAGGTACTGTCTATAAGATTGGGGAAACCTGCAGTCAGGTGAGATTGAAGAAGTCACTTGAGTGAGTGATGAAATGTTTCTCCCACTGAAAATGTTACGTCCAGATTAACAGAATCAACTGTTTGGGATTTCATTACCTGGATGTTTGAGCTTGCATCAAGACTAGGTCAAGATGTTGTAGGTAAAGGTGTTACTTAACACGTGAAACAAATCAATCAAATCAAGGTGCTGTGATGTCCCTGCTCACAGGTAACCTGTACAAATCTAAGAATGGGGTTTTTTTGTACTGTCTTCAATCAAGGGCAAGTTTAAATTCATCCATGAGTATAAAGCAAGCCAATTAGAACTTGTAAAGCCTGTATTTTTAAAGTATTTGTGTTGGGTCTGCACTTCCACAGGCCCCGCTGGTTTAGAGACTTATTCTTGTTAACGGCTCTGGGAGCTGAACGCTCCTCACCTGTTCCCTAACCAGCTTCAACCAACCAGTCTTCCTCGCAGCCTTTTATTTCCCCAACACACAGGTTACACAACAGTTAAGTACACACAAGCACCTCCCATTGTAAAACCACCCTATGGTTCTAAAAGATAAGAGTGTGTGTGTGTCCTCCTGCTCACAACCATAGAAGCACTTCAGCCTCCCCCACCACCAGAGTGGCTGGAGAGGTGGTCAGACACAAAGGAATGTCTTTGATTCCATAGTTTGAACTAAGACTTACAAATTTAAGTAGCACAATGACAACATTTAACTCCAACAATTTGTACATTTGCACTGTACTTCATAAGTGTGTTACTGGCTCAGACCTTCAGGCATGCAGGTACTGTTGTCCAGTTCAAGTCTGTATCCCGGAGCACAAAAGCATATGCGAGAGCCATCCTGAAGCTCTCTACAGAAATGTTCACATCCTCCATTTCTGTAGCGACAGCTGGGGGTGGTTGAACGCACTGCAAGGGAACAATGATAACACTGACTTCCTCTGCACCAATTGAAAACATCAGACTTTTTGGACTTCCAACCTTTTTCGCAGTTGTATCCATGGAAACCTAGTGGACATTTGCAGATATAGGTGTCGATGTTTCGAGTGCACGTCGCTCCATTCTTACAGGGAGAGGACAAACATTTGTCGACAGCTGCAAACAGGAAGTAGCAAAGATTTTTATCAAGCATTTCAACAAATGTTTAGAAAACTGAGCAATGTATTGGTTACAAGTGCGTAAAGAATTCTAGCACTACTTTATTCACAATGTGTTTACAATGTTCGAAATGTCAAAGCTCAGACTGAGTACCTGTGTATGTCCTCCAGAAGTTCTCCTGAGTAGACAGAAGACCCAAATTCAGTAATAGTTAACAAAACAAATATAAACTAAAAACTATCAAATTCTGTCTTTCAACTACCACCAGCACCATCCATTCTTATGTCACCATCTTGACTTCACTTAGTAACAAAATTTGGTACCAAGTGTTGTGGCATTTTCAATGCTTTTGTTGGTATCCTGAAACTGACCAGCTGTTGTGGG